CCCCAAAACCCCAAAACCCCAAAACCCCAAGAATCAAAAGATGACTCAAATCAGTAGGAATTGAGATTAATGATTTTATGAAAATTGAAGTGCCCTCGATTTCCTCATCAATAAACTTATAATAAAGTATTAAATTATACTATCATTACTCTCACATACAAGCGTCATGAATTCTTAATAACTTGTTCGAGATTTATTTGAACTACCTCCAAAGGTAAGTCATACCCTGATAAACTAGATCTAAAATACTAATAGGAAAATATCTATGATGATTTCGGTTGTGCCCTTCAAAGAACTGCCGTTATTTAGGGAAGAATGTACATCACTGAATCTTTTATATGTTTCTCTTCTAATTTATTAGGATTAGAATAAAAAGTATGAAATAGTTGTATAAATTATTTATAGGTGAGAATACCAATAGTAGACATTAAGAAGATAACAAAGAGGAAGGTGCTAGGGATATTTAACTCAGCTATGGAGATCTTAACCATTGATTAAAATTTTAACTTTTGCTCTTTCCAAGATAGAGATACTGCTTACGATAGAATATTTGCCCTCTGGAAGGTCTCATCTCCATATGCTAAAACTAATTGGATTGAGGAAGATGCTGATAATCCTTTTATCGAGAGTGATAATAAGCCGATAAAAAAGAGTTCTATTGAGTCCCCAAATGATCCAAAATCCTAAACTTAAAAATTACCTAGGAAACAGGATTTGAATATTGTGAAAGAAGGTAACAATTACATCATGACCACCTAAGATTAGAAAAATAGGAAGTCACTGCAACGAAATCCACAACAGACTGTTGTCCATTCTTAAAAGTTATGGCACGCTCAGAATCTTAATGGGCGTAAGTCCATGGTCGAGCATGATAAGAATTCGATAAAAAGTGAAGATTTCCTTGATAAGAACTAAATTGTTCTTGAACCTAATCATATCCTTAATACTGAGACAAGAAAAGACGAGGCTCTAGTTGATAATAAAAGTGACAATCTAGCAAGCCTCAATAAGAATTAGGTTGTGGTTGAAAACGCGAGAAGAATCTCTCACGTGAAGAGAACGATGTCTGTTAAGATAACTGATTTTCAGCATTCATTAGGAGATGAAAGATATTTTACTGATTTCTAGAATGAAGATGATCAATTTTAAAACTTAGAGAGAATTGAATATAGCCACCATGCTTAATCCTTTGCTATTGATCATATCAGTCAAGAAAACGGTGTCTAGTTTGATACTGGTAGCTAGGAGAAGCAGATCATGGTCAGTTCTCCATCTTTGGATGATCAGATAATTGTTTAGAAAGAATATACAGACGAGGAAATGATGGCTTATCTAGAAAAGCAGATGCCACCAGAAAATACTTAGTATTTATTTGACTTGGGAGTCAAGGTTTTCCCAGTCACGTTGGATGAGTTTTATGACCTTTTCCTTAAGAAAGATGGACCGATGAGCATGCAGGCTTACCTCAACATAAAAAAATTCAAGGATATTGTTATAGAAGATGTCAAGACTGATACCTTACCAAAAAAAGAGGGAGAGACTCAAGAGCAATTTATTATTACTCTGACCTTGCCCGTTGCAGGTATACCTTTTATAAAGGCAACGAAATTAGTAAAGAATTTCAGACTAACTAGATATGGAAAGTAATTTCACTATCATTACTAAACTAAAATCACTTATAGCTAAAAGATTTTTGTCAATATGGAGAATAGGACACCAGATGTACCCTATGGTGATCATTTTTATCAAGAAGAGAGATGGACTGTTCTCTCGCCATTTGAAGGTTCAAAGAAAGTTATCTTAAAGTATGTTTATCTTATTATTAAGCTTCTAAAATATTTACCTTAATGCTTTTAGATGCCAAAATTAGACCTTCTTTGTGAAGAATACTATCTTCAAAACTAAAATTTACAGTAGATCAGAGACTGACATCAAGCAGTACTTTGTTGATCTGATGAAAATATATGATCAATCTGGCATCTTAAGCCCTGAAAAACTCTAAGAATACAGAAACTAAAGAAAGGCTAATATGATTTAAAAAGCCATTGATAAAAATCTTGATTAGAACCTAGAATCAGACGAAGTAAATATCTCTCCTAACAAATTAAATGAATTAAATGATATTGTTCCTGATCTTCATGTTGCAGAGTTAAAAGAAGTAAGAAATGAACTAATTCTAGTTCAAGATAAATTAAATTCAAATAATAAGTAGCAAGCATAGCTTGATCTCATGAACTTATAATCTGGAAACTAAGACCTTAACAATCAGAAACCTATCGAAATGATCCATAAAATTATAGAATTTAAATTTGAAAAAATACTGATCCTTTTGCTGCTCTTGATTATCGTTATCCTTTCAATCTTGGTCTATCTTCAGTATACAGAGATAAAGGCTATAAGAACAGATCTAGATATTTTGATTTAAATTATGAAGAATTAAAACAATGCTAAAGTGAGTGGTGATATTAATCAAACTGTACAAGTAACAAGTTAAATAATAAATACAGATTTGTGAAATAGCTCGATATGAGTCAGCTAGGCTCTTGATTAATATTTGTCATTCCTTGTCACATTTACTGGAAAACTGATTCCTTTAAATGTGTGCTGGGTTATGACCTGCATAAAGAATAATCATGAAACAATATTTAAGCTAAAATAAGAAATTAAATCATTAATAAATTCAAATTTCATCAATTTAAATTCAAATTTAATTTCATTGTTATGGGGTTTTGGGGTTTTGGGGTTTTGGGGTTTTGGGG